AATTTAAAACCGTATTTATGTTAAAAAATGTTTAGATCAATTAAAAAATTGCCTATATTTCAAGCAAAGTTTCGCAAAAATTACTCATATTTTTGAAACATTGTAAATGACTTTATTTGGCAATGCCTTTACAAAACAGATTTCATTAAGGAATAAAATGTGTATCTTCAATATTGTAGTTATAAAAAGACGCCATTTCGCAATTTTTGAAAAATCGTTTTCAACGAAAATGAGACCTGCATCATTCTCATAAACGTCCTTTACGCAATCCAAGAACAAAGTTTAATCTCTAAATTTGTCATTGTTTTCAAAAATAATTTCGAACACTTTTTTAATGATTAATATAAAATACCTCAAAATCTAATTATCTATGGCCCTCAAGAAACTAAGAAATGGTGATAGAACATGCGTTTCACATTTTGAAAAGCCTGGCCACATTCATTATTCCATTTCCACCCTTTTGGCGACAACTCATAAAATGGACGTACCGCTTTCACGAAAATAGGGCAAAATCGCGCGTAATAATTACACGACCTGATGAACTTACCCAGAGGCGGGTCCAGAGACAAATTTTGGACGAGGAAATTCATAATGGTCTTAATCAGTTTGGTCAAATGTGTCATATTGCAGATTTTCTAAAATATCGCAGGTTCCACTCAGCACATGCTGTGATACGATTTTATTCGTTTTAATGATTCAAAACCATTCGGATGAAGTTTCGTGACAAGTTAAAATTAATAGTTACTGCACATTTTAGGGGGTGGGGGAAATTTCCTTCATTTCGCTCCACGAGGATCCGCGCTTCACTTGCGAAGTGTCGAACCGCACGTGGAGGGGGAATTTCGTCAATTTCCTCCGGTGTTTCGCTTTCCATGCAATTCCTTGGGTGCTTTTCATATTTCCCAGGAACTCAATTCTCGTGGAGCACCATTCTGATTTTTTAAAATTCTTAGCTACTATATTGTTCCCCAAAACATACTAAACAACTGTTGCATTTGACTCATGTGACATATGTTTGAAAGATTCTGCTTTTAATATATCATCTACGTATTCTATAAATCGATAGTGCATTTGTCCTCGTAACACTCAATCTATACATTGAATTAGTGCAGCACCACTGTTGACCAATCCCAAAGGAACTCCGTGAAATACGACCTTCGAAAGCAAACCCAGAGTATTTCTGGTCTCCTTCCACTACCTGCAGCTGCCAATACGGCCTGTTGAAATTCGTCCTTGAAAACATCTCGCTGCTTCAGCATCTTTTAGTATCTTGTCGATCACCGGATGTTGATCCTGGTCGAAGTCACATTATTCAATTTCTCCTCGCGTCCATGTACAGTCTAAGTCATCCTCCTTTCTTCTTTACAAAGACTATTGGACTAGGGTACGAGATCGTTTGCTCTCTTCATTGTTGTCTGCTACCATCTCGTTAATGAAACCGGCAACTTCTTCCTTCAGGACATTTGGTGTCGGATAATTTCTTTGACGGAATGGTGTGTAATCCGTCAGTTGGATCTTAAACGCACAATTGTTCACCGGCTTTCTATTTCTCTCGTTTTCTTTTCAAGTAATACCCTCTTCAATTTCTCATTTTCGCCCTCGCTTAGCGTTTCAAATTTCCGTACTTGTCCGTTAAGTGATCCTTCGATTGATACTTCGATTTGCACTCCCATACCGTCTTAGTTGATCGACTTTATCATCTAACCTGTCATCTTTTGCCGCAGATTTCTCAGCTATTACATTGTTGTGCATGATTATTTAATCATTCAGGGTCTCATTTTGCTTACAATTCTGTTTTATTTCCGTTAACTTCTCACTAATACGCTTTCCCACTTCTGCATGCTGTTTATGATTCTGTCTCTTTATTTGTTTGAATTGCTCTCTACTTTGGGTCAAAAAAACGTATTGCATTTCGCACAATATAGTTCGCAGTTTCTGGTTCAATGTTTTTATGAAGTTTCCCCATTAGCATTTCCTTCTTATCGAACAACCCGTGCCCTTTAGTTGTGATGTCTTTCACTCCTTCCTCCTTTTTCGGCGATTTCGATATCACCCAGGCTCGAAAACAACCATTTTCTGTGAAAACTAAATCTTTACTGCTCAAAATTCCGCGTTTTCAGAAACGCTCAAAACGTTCTGGCAAGTGTTTCCTTCAAACGTTTTGGACTGGATAATGCTAATTACACTCTTAAGATGACGTAAAGTTTATTTTAAGGTACTTTTTTGTTTTTTCAAAAATTTACAAAAATGTTATCTTTAATGCTCTCTGCTAATACGAGCAAATTCTGCAATTTATAAACAGCATTGTATTTGTGCGTTAATGTGCTTGAAATCACTTCAAATGAAGTTTTTCGAAAACTGAAAGTTTCTATGGAAGAGATCATTTAAATTTCGAATTGACAGTCGAGTTTAAAAGCAATTTTCTTGAAAATGGATCCAAATTTTTCAATAAAAATTGACATCTGGAGTGAGGTTTTAGTGCTGTTTATTTTTAAGTAATATTTCCATTCTACTATTAGTAAACCAATAAATTAAGAATTGTTTTTAAAAAATGTTCTTGGGGCGGCAATAAAAGGTACCTGGCAATTAATGCAAGAAAATCTGTGCTATTCTGTAACACTAGTTGCATATGTATTGAATTCCGCTCAACAAATTAAAAAAGCAACAGTAACAATTTTAATACATAGTTGGACCTAATTTGATATGATCCTGGAACATTTGTGTCGACTCAGGCGAATCGGGTGTTTAAATCGATTTATTTCAATTTCTACCGACTATCTGTATTTCCAAAACACTTTGTGTTTCCAGAATTAGATTTTCTTTCCCGCAGGCTTTAAATAAAAATTTATTCGGGAAATTTCCGTGGTTCACGGGCATTTGTTTTTTTATTATTTTTTTTTATTATTTTTTGGTTTAATTTATTTTTTTTATTGTATTATTGTTTATTATTTGATTATTGTTATTATTGTTATTATTGTTATTATTGTTATTATTGTTATTTTTTTATTATTGTTATTGTTATTATTGTTATTATGTTATTATGTTTTATTATTGTTATTATTGTTATTATTGTTATTATGGTTTTATTGTTATTGTTTATATTGTTTCATTGTATTTATTGTTATTATTGTTATTATTGTAATTGTTGTTGTTGTGTTGTTGTATTGTTGTTATTGTTGTTATTGTGTTTATTATTATATTATTATTATATTATTAAAAGCTCCTCGAGCTTTTGGCGAATTAACAATTTCGGATTATTTCATGAGTAAATCTCTCGTTGATTAATATTAATATTATTATTATTATTATTATTATTATTTATTAATTTTTTGGGTGTTTCTCCTTGTTTTGCATGCCAAATGCAAGGGACTTTCCAGGATTTTCTGATCATTATTTTCTAGTCTAAATCGGAATGTGAAATTGCTTCCACCTCAGCACCATTGTTTTTCTTTAATTGACATTCAATTTAATTATTTGAATAACCTTATTATTAGTATTAGTATTAGTATTATTTTCTTTTTTTTCTTCAAAAAGTCCGTCCATTCTATCCGTTCGTCTGGAATAATACTAGTGGCTACCTATTCATAGGAATTTTCCAAAATGAATATTTCCTTATAGATCTGGTCGACATGGTCAGACGTTAAAAAAATATACTTTAGGCGGCAGTAGATGGCTGTTAAAAATCGGTGGGAGAAAACAAAAATGGAGCACAGACTAAGGAGATATGGAAACTAAGTAGTACAAGAAGTCTGTGCCATTCAGAAGCATAGACCATAGCACCATTGGTTTGCTACTGTAACTTTGCATTACAATAATGTTCGGGTATTGGTCAATGAAATTCTTGAACGGAAATGTTAAGATTCATTGGCTAACTTGAGCCATGATACAGGACGCGAAACCCATTGGGCTGGAGAATTGGAAATGAGTGGATTTAACCATTGTTTAGCGACAAGCAATCAGATATTAAGACGTTTGGGCCTGTGTTGAGTCTTGGCGCGTTGGCCGCAGCTACTTGATGGCGAGATAGTCGCACAGCTAATCATATTGTGTTGCATTCCTCAGCCAAGACTAATCCTTGAAACTTTTGATCATCTCAGTTTAAAGAATATGAACTCAGAATTATGTTGTAAGATGAGTAATACACGTATATCCAGAAATTCTTTTTGTTGCAAATTACTTCCGAAAACCCCTTGATTAAGAATGTGACGATACATCTATTGCATAACCACACCGGAATGAAAACTGTTAAATAGTTGTCTGGTTTCAATTTGTAAACAGATTTTTTAATTTGATGTAGCTATAGAGTTGGGTGCAGGTCTGTTAAAGTGGATTCATATGGTAATCAGAAATGCGTATGTTGTTGGATTCCTGGAGCAAAAATGTAATTATTTGTTTTTAATAATTAAGGTTTTGCCCTGTGCTCGAGAGTATTAGTAAGCAACTGGCATAGAAGACTTGTGGCATTATCGTTATTTTGGAAATTATTGTAAAGAAGAAAACGAGTATGAAAAACGTGTGGAACCTTTTCAGAATCATTAACGTAATTTTGTAATCAAAATCTAAAACCTAAACCGAAATATTTGTTAAGCGAAACATCAACCTAATGTGAAACGGTTTGATGCCTGTTTAATAGTAGGTGGGAAAGAAGGAACAGAAAGGAAAGAAAATTATAATAGGATGTAAATGCATTGCAGATGACAAAGACAATAAAAATAATAAATGCGAATTTACTATAAATTAATGTAAGACAACATTTTATTAGAATTAACATTATACATTGCTATATTTATATGCTTTTCTGAAAGTTTTGTTACAAAAACTTTGTGTTGATGCTCTAAATTAATTGCCGGGGAGGAGAGCAGGAGCGAGAGCCGTGTGTCGGGGCGAAGGCAGGGGGAGGGGGGCGTGGCTGGGCTCGGCCGTGCGCGGGCGCGGGGCGCGCCCCCCACTCCGCCTCCGGCGAGGGGTGCGTGTCCTTGGGGCAGGGGCGGGGCGGGCGCTCAGTAAGCGGCGGTTGTAGGGCTGCTGGCCGAAAGGGCTGCTGCCTGCTGCTGCTGCTGCTGCAGGGCGAGCGAGCGCGCGATGGCCTCTGGGATGGGCGGCGGCGTGGGCAGGTGCGCGCCCTCCGCGCGGAAGCCGCCCTCGTCGGCCACGTAGCGCACGGAGATGGGCGTGCCGTCGGGCGCCGTGTACGAGAAGGAGCCCTGCGCCGTCTGGGCCTCACGCTCGGGGCCCGCGCCCGCGTTCTTCAGGTAGCCCTGCTCCTCCGCCTGGATGCCGTTGCCCGTCTGGTAGCTGCACATGCACACACACACACCCAAAGGGTCTTAAGAGGAGTCACGATTCAAGGCAAATGGCGCCTTCCGCACGGAAGAGAAAAGTATTGGGAACTATAGCATACGTCAAGTTTCGTTCCTTCGTAGTAATTATAATAATAATAATAATGATGATGATGATGATGATGATGATAATAATGTCTTTATTAATGGTGAGGCTAAAGTCATAGTGCCTGCTCTTCCACCTAACCACTTAAACTTCGTAATCGGGTAATACTTCGGTTTCATAAGAACTGCTTCGAATGTTCAGTTCTGGCCAAATATTCTTGGGATATATGATCAAGTTTTACCTTGCAACGGATTGTTTTGCGGATGGCAACAGTGCAGCTTGATTTAGGTATCAATTCTGATGCATTTTGTTGGGGGTGTTGTACGTATCAATCATTTTGTGTAGAGTGAAGTGGTTTTTCGTGTTAGGTGTAAAGCAGTTCGCGGTAACAAAAATATTACTATAATAAGAAATGGAAGAAAGGGACAAGGGACGAAATAGAAGCAGTCCAGATGGCGAACGAGAAGAAGAAATAGGGGAAAGAGAAAACATAAGAAGAGAGAGAAGGGAAAGGAGGGAAGAAGTTGAAAGAGAAGCAAAAGGGAAGAGTGAAAGGAGAAGAGAAGAAGGCGCACGAAGCACAAGAGAAAAGTGAAAAAGAAGGAAAAGATAAACATAGGAAGATGGTGAAAGGGAAGAAGAAAGAAAAGATATTATTTACTGTCTCTAAAGGCATCTAAAACTTCACTAAATTATTCCTTATTTCTACCTCGTAAAGTCCGAGGTCTCACTTTCCCAAGCATGATCCAAATAACTGAAGTCCTAAACCTTCGTCATTTTTTTTCATAATTATTATGTTCATTTTTATCATAATTTATATAGATTTTGTTCTAGTAAGCTACATGTTTATTATATTTTGTATTTAAAGGCAATTACGTAGTGCAAAACCTTAAGACCACAAACATATTACAAGTTACCACTAATCAAAAATGACTGTATAGTATTACTCTTGTTTTATCCCAAATAGGATGCATAATTTAAGAGCCTGTGAGTACATATTTCTTTGTGCAGTGTTTTCAACGAGCAACTTTAAATTGAATGTTACTGAATTGAATGTCTGTTGCGTTAGTTAGGCAACTGGAATTGAATTATCATACAATGAGATGTCCCAAGTTATATACCCATAGTCGGCACCGTTACGTAGCTGAGATACGTAATGACATTGTCTAGAGTGGAATTCCAGAGGCCGACAGCACTGATCGGGTCTTTACATTTTCCTTCCGATTGGAACCATGTGGATGATGAATCTTAGATACATCCTTTCACATCCTATCTCTTCCATTCCTATTCTTACTCTCTTGCTATCAAGAAAGGAAGAGGGCCATTAAATTCTTATAAAACCTGTATCAGATTAAAGCAATGCACAATTCTGTTTAATTTAAATGTCAGTGAAGAACACTCCAAAAAATAACATGTCCCAATTCTCTTCGACTATGGATCAGGTTTGTCGTTCACATTTTAATTCAAAGGCAAATTAAAGATCAGCTATCTCGAAAACATCGTTGCCTCTCATTTTTTCAGGACATTTGCAGCCTTCGTATTAATAGAGTGGGTTTTGGATAAATAAATGGTGCAACATTCAGGTACGTTCAATGCGTTATCTGATATTACTATGGCAACATTCTTTTGTCGCATCCTTGTGTGTAAATAAGTATGTATGCAAATACTCCAAAAACATTAAGTTATCTGTTATAGCTTGGAAATATCCTTAAAGTTAGTAGGTATTGCAAGAAGAAACATTACTAATGTACCGAATCAATGGCTAAAATTTATTTGTTTCTAGCTTTTGCTTCTACAGTTCGGAAACTGTATATCTCGAAGCAAAACGTCATTTATATTTTACAACATTTTTCAGTATATTAGCAAACGGCATTTGTAACTAATTCAGTATCGGATAAACAATACACTAATCCTCGAGGGAACTTAGCATATTTGTATTATTTCTGAGTTTTCATAGCGGTTCAAGGTAATAGAAGCTAATAAGTAAACCCACCTGTAGGCGTAGGATCCGTCGTAGTTGACGTCATTCCGGTAGGCCAGGATGGGGATTTGCGCGTTGGGGTTTGAGTACTGGTTGCGGTACTGGTACTGGTTCTGGTTCTGGTTGTACTGCGGGAGGGCGAGCGCCACGGCAACCAGGGAACACAAACACACGAGCTGTGAAGAGACAGACTGCGTTGAAAAGCAATATCAATGGCACTTAGTGTCTCCGACAAAGCGAAAAACACTTATTGGCAATGTTTTTGTAATACTCATTTCTAAAATTTAAGAGATCTATATATTTTGCAACTAAATTTGTGTATAACTTTATATTACTATAAACGCAGATGAGCATCATTTGCGAATAATAATAATAATAATAATAATAATAATAACAACAACATTCATCATTTTATCACCTCGTAGTTTATAGTTTCAAGGCTAACAACTTTGTCTTTAACAATGGTTCCAGCTGAAAGGGCTGTTCCTCATAGCGAGTAAAAACACAAAGACTTTTCCGGAATAAATATGACTGGGTTTTAGATAATAACTTGTAGCGTGGTTCAAGTTGGCCGATATTCGCATTTAACAAACATAGCACATAAAACTAAAAATCGAAATGTTTGGTTTAGTGTAAAATACACGATATTTGAAATGCTGTTTAATGAAGTTCACATAAATTTCTGCGGAGAAAGAAGTAGCGAGGGAAAATACCCTGGAAATAAATGTGTGTATGTGGTTGGTTGGACGAGAAGGCCGGTCGCCGGCGGCCGTGGCGAGAAGCGCTCGTCTAAAGTCGCGCGGCCGCTCCCTCCCGGATCCGGCGACGGGATCGCACAGCAGCAGCGCCGCTAATTAGGCGCCGCATTTGCATGGGAGGGGGAGGGGGAGGGCGCGCGAGACAATGCACGCCCGGGAACCTCCCACCTCCCACCTCTCCCCTCCCCCCCTCCCACCCGGCGGATGAGCGCGCGCGCTGCGCAGTCACCTCGCCCATTGTCTGGCGATCGGTGTGGGCTCTATGAAGCAACTTCTCCGCGAGGTAAAAAGAGCAAGAGCAGCTAGCTTGAGAGGCTCGCTTTAACGGCCAGGAATTAGTGTTAGTTTATGAAACTTGTTCTCATGCAAAGTAGGTAATCGTACGAAGCTTCTTCAAAACTCGCGTATTTCTTCTCTGAGTATATGGAACAAGTGAATACTCAGCATAGAGGACCACGCACATGAGAATGGGAACGAAGAAGAAGCGAAAGAAGTAAAGGAAAAAGGGAAGAAGTTGAAAGTGGAGAAGGGAAGAAGTTTAAAAAGGAAAAGGGAAGAAATTGAAAGTGAAGGAAAAGGAAAGAAGTCGAAATGGATACCAATGTAAGTAGTTTTTTTACTCGTGCGGTAAATTGCTGGAGGACACTTTAATCTCGGATTCCGTGCGTGTTATATTTTCATTCTTTGTAGCTCGTGCGGAGACCGGAGTACCTTGAAATGTTCTCTCCTGTGGGCGAAACACAATTTATCTTCGACTCGGCCTCGGCCGCGAGAAGCGCCTCATCCCGTCTCATCGCGCTTCCCGCCCCCGCCCCCGCCCCCGCTCTTTCTCGCGAGCACGTCCTCCGGATGGCCACAGCAGCGAACGAGGATGTGGCCGTCAGCGCCGAAACAAAACCAGAAAACGAACGTGGATTCAAAGGGTTGAGAAACAGCTGACAAAGAGGCTATCAAAGAAGCTGTGAACAGGTTTCCTGCTACGACGTGTAACACTCACGTCGGCGGACAAATGAGCAGAGATCATATGCAAATGTGGAATTAAGAGTTCTTCGACAACTATTAATCGTATAAGACAAAGGATAGTTTACTTTCTTTAGCAAGAGATACCTAGACGTCATTCAGAAATAAAAATCTCAAAATCCCAAAATTGAAAGGATGCTGGGCCTATTGCCATAGATACGCACACGCACTAACAAAAACCCAAATTATCGAATTTTGGCGGCAAGGTTACACAATCTGGGAAATCCTCAATGTACCATATCACGTTTCTTGTAGAATACAAAAACACTGCCCAAAATGAAACTATTGTCCGAAACTTTTTTTATTGACTTGCTATACTGTCCTATTTTGTTTTGTTCACTGCTTTAATAACGCTGACACTTAATTAGTATATCATCTCTCAAACCTAGAAAGCTAAGACGCGAAATGGCCCGTTAACGTAGAACCTTCGAAAACCTAAACAGCTATCGTCGATCAAAACCTCCAACTCTGGTAACGCCCTCAAACACAACAGTTCACTGGGTCCTCCCTCTCAACCCACGCAATACTTAGGTGTCCTCGGAGGATGACTCATCGGGAAATCCCACATCAATCACGTCTGACAAAACGCAATCGGCAAAGTAATTCATTTGATACCCCACTGAGCAGAGCATCCCCATTAAAACTTAGAACATCTATCATATGCTTCCCCAATTTGGTTCACAGCATCTCCATTCAAACTGCGTCACCTTGAAACACACCTATATAAATTTATCAGAATAAGAGAATAACCTCAGCTCTTAAGTTTGTACGAAACTGACATATCCACAGAGACTTTACCATCCCTACAATTGTCTTTTTAATCCACCAGAAAAAGTCTACCTTTTCTTCGCAGACCCTCTTCTGCACTAGATGGAAGCATCCACTAGGATGAACCTTCTCACCTTCCCACAGATTTTACTTTACCTTCCACAGAGATCAGGCGATCTGGCAACAGCTCCGTCCATAAGCCCTTATTCTCGAGAGCATTCTCATATTTGGTCGTTCACTATTATGCAACAACGTACTAAATAATTATGTCGCCCTTCAAACTCCACTTTCACAGGAGCTCATCTAGATTACCCTGCAATATTTTACTGTAAAGCCAACAGAAACTAACTAAAACGGAATCCTCACATATAAAGCCAAAGGCTTTGAAGGCAGTGAAATTAACTATAGAATACTCCGACAATTCCCATTCTTATATGGTCACTTATTCTCTCAGAGAGAGAACACGCTGTGCAAGGAAACAACAAATTGATGGAATGTCTGTGATCGTCGTTGTATTGTCAAACATGGGAGACCAAAAATCGAATTTGATTGGAACAAATAACACAGAAATCACAACAACTACTGCTCGTCAAAAATTACGCACAATTTCATACCCAAATTATGCGAACATTGTATTAGTATTTTGGAAGATAAGCTGTACCCTGTTTATCATGTATTCTCTGAAACATAACAAGTAAATCTACCATGTATTTAAGTTTGAATACTAAATACCAGAAATCAAATTTAGATAATGGAATACTGACATTTGAATATCTATTTGATACTATTAACCGAAGTAACAAAGGTAGACCAGGTGCCTTGCCAAAAGTCTCATATGGAAGGTCTCGCTAACGAGCTTATGTTAACGTAACTTAAAGCTTCAAATTAAAATTAAAAATTTAGGAGTCCTTCGGATGAAAGTTCAAAGCTTGAAAATTCAAGAAGTTAGTAAATGATGAGACTTTGCCCAACGCAGAGTAAATGGATATAAGGACTTGATTAACAGCCCACCCCCATTATGTAAGAGTTCTGAAAAATCTTCTCCTCTCAGAGCAGTCGGAATCCAAGTGGCTGTGGGAATCCCATCTTAAGTTCGAATCGATCGCCGTTGCCGTTGTGGTTGGCGGATTCTGGATAACAAGCAGCGCGGGTTGCTCAACGGAGGGGCGCCAGGCGGCGCATCGCTAGCCGCGCGGAGGCGGGGCGGGGGCGGGGCGGGGCGGAAAGCGCGGGGGGGGCGGGGGCGGGGGCGACGGTTCCGCCGGGCGCCCGCGCAGGTCAAGGCGCCCTCGCACGTGACCTCCTCCGCTGGAAACGAACGGGCGGAAACTCTTCGCGCTCCTCGAAGACTCCGCCTCACGCGTTGGAAACCCCGGCTGGTTTAGTTATTACCCAAACGCCACTCCTGGCCGCTCGAAAAGATTGAAAACGCGAAAGGTAAAATGTAAGACTTTTTTACAACTAAACTAAAATGGCACAGACTTTCTCTTACTAATCAATTTTCTAATTTCTTTCGTCTGTGCTACCTCTTCGGTCTTGGCCCATCCTCTTGCCAGCTGCCATCTATCGCTTTCCAAACTACAGTTTTTGAAAATTTCTCAATTTTTCGGTTTTGTAATGGTAAAATGTAAATATTATTTTACGAATATTATAGAAGAGTTCAACCTCGTTCTATGAGGAACTCTTCGTTGAAAAATTTGGAGCTGTTTTTAAGAAATTACCGTTTACGCATTATCATGAATGCGAAATTTGAAGTTTTTTAACAGAAAACTTTTGAATTTTCGGAATTATCAGAAAACTTGGAATTGGAATTCATTTGAATCACATTAACTCTCATATGAAAAAATGCACTCAGAATTGCGTGAAAAATACTAAAATTTTGACCTTAATGAAAGAAGTAATTATGGAAAACAAATTTAATTTCAATACAAAATATCTACCTTCAATTCTGTAGTTGTAAGAAGACGCGGAAAAAAATGTCAAACTTTTGCCAAAATCGAAAAATTAGAGTTAACAGTGAAAAACGGATCTACGCTACCATAAAATGTGTATTTCACTCTATTTTTTCGAGAAATATAAAGAAAAAATGTGGAGTAATTTTTGATAAAAGTTTGAAAATGTTCCAGGGGCTTCAAGTAAAGTACCCCCAAAATTTAAAGAATATTATTCAAAATTGTAGAAGATCGAGTCAAGCCAGGTCGACTGAGGAATATTCACTTTGGAAAATACCCTAGAAATCGTTTAGGCGCTAGTGTTTTCGCGGACTGGCAGACAGACAAACGGACGGACGAGCCAATTTTTTTCGGTATCAAGGACCAATAATAGATTCTGATTTCACAACGTGGTGGAGCAAATAATTTACTACGTATTGGAAAAACTTTATCCGCTGTTTCGTATCAGGCCCTACAAGACGCGTTTTTCTGTCGAAAAATTAGTTTTTTACCGGAACATTACATAACTTTCTCTATACTACGTGTATTACTCCGTAGACGGTACGCATGCGAGAGAACATAAATCGCACTTGCTGTGAAGCTCTAAATTCCTAGAAGCACCTGAAGACACTGGCCTTTGGAGCCCGTGCGGGCGCCGCATTGCAAACCGGTCACTCCGCCACTTTCCTGCGGCCGAGCCAGGGTACGGGTGTGTAGAACATTCAGGTCTCCCGAATGACCTCGGCGTCACATTTCATCCTTTTTAGGAGTAAGCTGATATCGTGTAAATTATTACTCTGGTAATCCTTACGGTAGGATTTGAATCTGATTACAAGAGAGTCACTGCCTGCATGAACTTTCTGAAATAATTATAAAGAATGTGTTTCATGTATTAATTATGATGCTGTAAAATCCGAACGTGAAATGAACATTGCTTGAAAAACATCCTGCATTCTTGTGCAAGTTGCTTTCGGTATTCCGTCTTCTCAAGAACACTTCTGAAAGTAGTTGAGACTGCCAGGAAGCTCTTCTCTAAAGAAATATTACATTTATCTCTGAAAAAGAAAAGAACCAAAATATTTGATTGTGAATTGTAGTTTCAGTTATCTGAGACATTATTGAAAGATTATTTTTATCGATCTATTCATTCGGCCACATCCGATATTGAAAATGTGATACAAGAAATCTCCTAGATACATTTCATGAGAACAATGTTTTGCAGGTTCGTTTTTATACGAAACGAAATTTCCCTTCAAAGTTTGAATACAGTACATCCTCATAAACGCAAATTCCAAGGAACTGAAATAATCGGAGATCGTGTTGTAAACATTCCTGTTATCCGATTATTAGAAATGGCCGTACTGTAATCCCTTGCCGGGACCCAACTTTTCGTGTTACGGCGAAGTTAGTGCTAACGTGTGTTTTCTGTAACACATTCCAAAGAATGACCAGCACCAACTGTATTCCATTACGTGATTATTTTTAGAATGATGTTTGTAAAACTTGATAGCCTTTTGTA